CGTGCGCTGTCACCGCCTCTTCTTGGTGACTAACTCCGGGCCCCGGGGAACTCGGCGTCTCCGCCCCCGGGAGACGGGTGAGGAAGAAGTCGGGGCTGGGAGGGGGAAGAGGAGGGGGGGGGAGCCAGGCCCTGGGCGCCCCAGTTTTCACTTTCGCACAGCCCCGGAGCCGCCCGGAGCGTCAGGGGAGGGAGGAGGGTAGGACAAGTTCAACGGCAGCCGCCGCCGGCCTCTCCGTCCCCCCGCGCATGTGGCTGCCTGACATGTGCCACTCGCTATTGTTTTGATAAGAATCCGGAGCTGCTGTCTGTGTAGCTTCATCCCCTACGTTTTCAGTCCTTCTCCGGGTTCATTTATCCCAGGAGATCCCCTTATCTTGTTACACCAAACAGCCAAGTGCTTTAGAGATCTTTGTTTAAACACGGAATCACCAATGAATTGATCAATCACGAAAACAGCCTAATTCTCCCTTTTCTTGTGCTCTATCCTCTCCGCTCAGAAGGAATCCTTTGTGGCTTAGAAACCAAGGGTTCCAGCAACCAAATAGATTGTGTGTAAGACGCACCTTTTCTGAGTAGAGGGCTTGATCCAGGGAGGACTTGAGTCAAATTGCACCTGTCTGAGGAATGATTGCGTGGTGAAGTTAGAAAAGGCATTTCCTTTGAGCCTTTTTCTTCAGCTCCACAGAAAGAATTACACATAAATATGTTAGATCTAGAGAAGTTTTTCAGCAGACAGTACTTTTTAATAGGAGTGCACATCTTACTCTGCTCCTGTACAGACTTGTTTTGTTACTTGTAACTATTTTAAGTGAACTTGGATTAGGTAACTTGACAAGGATGATGCCTCATTTTTCAAAGTTTTAAGTTAAAATCCTTGGTAATAATTCCAATATTTTTTTAAAAATTGTACTTAAGAATGACAACAAAATAGGAAAGGGGCTTAGATTTCAAACTGTTCTCTCCTTTGATATAAGCGATCTTAACTTTTTCAGAAGGTCTCACTTTATCAGGGAGACTTTACATGGATGTTATCTTTTTAAATCAAACACTTTTCATATACTTTGGTTCTTTTTTTAAAATACATTTTATTGATTTTTTACAGAGAGGAAAGGAGAGGGATAGAGAGTTAGAAACATCAATGAGAAACATTGATCAGCTGCCTCCTGCACACCCCATACTGGGGATGTGCCCAGCAACCAAGGTACATGCCCTTGACCGGAATCGAACCTGGGATCCTTCAGTCCGCAGGCCGACACTCTATCCACTGAGCCAAACCGGTTAGGGCTATACTTTGGTTCTTGATAATTTACTATTCATGGAGAAATTTGAAATACCAAAATAAAGGAAGAGACTTTTGTTATTCAAAATGTACTACTTTCCATTAATAAAGAACTGTGTCCTTTGTAGCCTTATGACATTAAATTAAAAAAAAACACTAGTTTTTTGTTGTTTCCTCTGTGCTGATATGTTTGGGTTTTGGGAAATTACAAGCAGATCAGGAGATGCAATTGGCTTGGGAGCAAAGATATTAAATCATTTACCCTGAACAAAGCAGAGCTACTGCTGTTCTTAGGTATTCATCTTCAGAACTTTGAATTGGCAAAACTGGAATAATTTAATTGTGTTAAATTTTGGATTACTTTATCTTTTTCTTAGATGATTACAAAGAAATCTTTTCAAAAATATATTCACAGTGGATGGTATATAGTAATGTGACCCTTGGCTGAAGAAACTATGAAGGAAACCTCTGTTTCACTCATTCATTAAATCACCAATTGGTTTATGTGAATTTCTTTGAAGATTCCTTAAGTGCATTCTCTTGAATTTATTTTATATTTGTCCAGTATGCTCACCTATTTGCTCAGGTTTTGGATTTCTTGAATATAACTTTCTCTGTTTCAATCAGTCTCAAAGAGATCTTCTATACTGTCCCACCTTGTTCATTCCTCAACACAATGCAAAATAACTTTTTCCTCTAACTCTGGTTAGTAGAGGTTGCTAGTGACTTTTTGATTGCCAAATAGTTTTCTGTCTTTATCTTACTTGATATTATAGTCTAACACTTCCTCCTTTGACCTTCTAGGCAGCTGTGGCCAACCCCTTCATTTTATCTAGTGTGATGCCTATTATTGTACTGTAATGTAATGTATTTGTTGCCTCACATTTTCTCTTTACCTAGTCCCTGAATTCTTTGAGAAAGAGACTATGACCAGGATAGATATTTAATGGTTATACAATGCAAACTGCTTTATGTTGTTTATTTGAACTACATATTCTCTAACTAATTGCTAATCCTTGTTTGACTTGCTTTCCATAAGTAAAGAAGACTTGTTAAAAATAGCACATTGTCTTGGCCGGTTGCTCAGTGGTTAGAGCATTAGTCCGAGGGCTAAAGGGTCTTGGGTTCGATTCATGTACCTCAGTTGCAGGCTCAATCCCCAGTTGGGGCACATGCAGGAGGCAGCTAATTGATGTGTCACTCTCACATTGATGTTCTCCCTGTCTCTCCTCCTCCCTTCCACTCTCTCTAAAAATCAATGGAAAAAATATCCTCAGTAAGGATGAACCAAAAAAAAGCACATTAACCATAGGTAAATGCATAAGCTAAAGTGCAAAAGAATGAAATTGAACTACTATTTTGCAATATACAGAAAAATTAACTCAAAATGGATTAAAGACTTGAACATAAGAACTGAAGCCATAAAACTCCTAGAAGAAAACATAGTTGGTAAGTTCCTTGACATCAGTCTTAAGGATGATTTTTTAAATCTGACATCAAAAGCACAAATAACAAAAGGAAAAATAAAAAGTGGAACTACATCAAACTAAAAAGCTTCTGCACAGCAAAGGTAACCATCAACAAAATGAAAAGGCAACCTACTGAATGGGAGAAAGTATTTGCAAGTCATATATCTGATAGCAGTTAATATCCAAAATATATAAAGAACTCATACAACTCAATAGCAAAAAACCATACAACCTGATTTAAAAATGGGCATAAGATCTGAATAGATACTTTTGCAAAGAAGACAAACCAGTGAGCAACAAGTAATGAAAAGGTGCTCTACATCATAAATAATCAGGGAAATGCAAATCAGAACCTTAATGATTATCACCTAACACCTGTTAGAATACCTATTATCAAAAAGACTAGAATAACAACTGTTGTTGAGGATGTAGAGAAAAGGGAGCCCTTGTGCACTCTTGGGGAGAATGTCAGTTGGTGCAGCCACTATGGAAAACAGTACCATATGGTCCAGCAATTCCATTTCTGAGTATTTATGCAAAGAAAATGAAAACATTAATTTGAAAAAAATAAGCTTCCCCATGTCCATTGAAGTATTTACAATAACCTGGATATGCAAACAACCTAACTGTCCATTGATGATATACTGGGATAGCTTTTCTCACCAGATGGTCTTTCATCCTCAGAAGGCTAATCTGGGCTTCTTCACTTGCTGGTCTCAGGGTTCCAAGAGAGTGAGAGCAGAAGTCTCTCAATGTCATCTCTTTTTGTGTTGGTCAAAGTCAATATCAAGGCCAGCCCAGATTTAAGGGTTGGT